CACGGTCTTATCAATTACTCTGAATATTTTTCTTCCTGTCTTCATAGCCGCTTCCTGAGAAGTTTGTGGTGAAGGGTGTTGTAGATCGTTTTTCGGAAGAGTTTGTGGAGACCAGAAGAAAAGCTTTGGATAAATTCCTAAAAAGAATTACAGATCATCCTGTGCTCTCTTTCAATGAACACTTTAATGTTTTCCTTACTGCTAAGGTAAGAACAGAATTTTTCATATTCCTCCCCCAAATTAGCATTCTTCGGGCTCTTTTTTTTTTTTTTCTTGAGTTTATTTATTTTGAGAGAGAGAGAGAGAGAGAGAGAGAGAGCATGCAGAAGAGGGGGTGGGGCAGGGGGAGAAGGAGAGAGAGAATCCCAAGTAGGCCTCACACCATCAGCACAGAGCCCGATACCGGGCTTGATCTCCAGAACCATGAGATCATGACCTGAGCCGAAGTCAAGAGTCAGATGCGTAACTGACTGAGTCTCCTAGGTGCCCATCTTTGGGCTCTTTCTTAAAAGCTGCTTTGCTCTCTCACAAACCACCTTTGGGAATGGGCCACTATAGTGGATGTCATCAAATTCCTCTATGTTTTTGGTGTCCATTTGCATCATCCTGGTTTCCATGTTAGAATTCAGGAGAAACACCCCCACTGCAGCAGAGAGGAAGTATTTTCACTTGCCTAAACAAAGATAAGTGTTTCCTTGAATTCTTCTTGGCATTTCAATAGGTGAGGCCATTCTGACCAACAAGTGGGCCCTGAGGGAAAGAACATCTAATGAGTGTTTGATAAAGATGTTCTTCACAGGAACCCTGTGAGAGGTTACTCAACCTCTCATTCTACTGATAAGGAAACTGAAGTTCAGGGAATTGGTACATATTCAAGTGGCATCACTTGGGATTTAAAATTAGGTCTTTAAGGCCCCAGAGGCCGAACTTCCGCTCTAAATCAGACTGCCTGACAAAGACTAGTTCAGTGTTGCTTGCCCACAGCCAAATTCCTATTGGGTGGGCATTTTCCAAGCATTTGCCAGAGAAACATTTGGGTCCCACGTAGTTGCCGGTTTCTGTGTGTTCACACCCAGGTTGGTCATTCACTGGCTTCTCTGTGCACTTCCGGTTGGCGGAACTGGCAGGAAGTCTGACACACTCTGCCCTCAATGTCTACAGAAATGGGATCTCAGGCTCACACTCTCATGCCAGCTCCTCGCGGCCCCATCTGTTTACTTTCGTGAATCATATTCCCAAACTCAGGCCACAGGTAGTTTGTTTCATGTTGGCAAGGGTGTTGAGGCTCCGGGATTCCCAGTTTTCTTTCTCAAAATGGCAAAATTGAGAAATATTTTAAAGTCAGTCAATTTTAAAGATTTTAGAGAGGGTGCCATTCTCCAGACAATGGAAACCACATGACAAAGTCCTTTAGTATTTTTTTTTTAAACCTCAGTTGACATTTTTTCGCCTCATTGATGACATGCCCATTCATCTTCTCTTTTTTCCCAGAGGCCTGTCCCCCACCGCCCATGTCAAACCCATGTTCTGTTTCAAAATAAGTATTTCCTGGTGAACAGATCCTCGAATATAGTTCTTTCAGCTCATATGCAGAGTGAAATCCATCCTGTTCTCCACACATGCAGCTCAGTGCCTCACCCACGTATCAGGTCGTTGTTCAGGCAGGCCTCAGTCTTGGTCATCTTTACTGAACAGAGAGACAATGGGAGAGAGTGCACGGACCGTGGGTCGTTAGGAATCTATGTGAAAAATAAAGTGGAAAGATTTGCGTGTGGTGGATGGTATTCAGTATGAAAGGTGATGTAAAAAAAAAAAAAGTCCTTCAGCGTCTTAATCAAAATCCAACTTCACGCGAGCGAATGCAGACAGAGCATTGGCTCTAAAACAACCAATTCTAACCCTCATTCAGTTCTACTTGTTGAATTAAATGTACCAAATACCCCCATCTTTTCTTTTCTTTCTTTTTGATTGTGGTAAAATACATCTAAAATTTACCACCCTAACCATTTTAAAAAATGCACATTTCAGTGGCGTTAAGTATATTCACACACTTACACGACTATTCATCTTGTGAGCCTGAAACAGTGTACTGCACTGTGTGACAGGAAACTACAGTGACTCCCCATCTCCCCCTCTGTTGTCTCCACCTTTTAACACACCTTGAAAACCTTTGTCTTGGGGCGCCTGGGTGGCGCAGTCGGTTAAGCGTCCGACTTCAGCCAGGTCACGATCTCGCGGTCCGGGAGTTCGAGCCCCGCGTCAGGCTCTGGGCTGATGGCTCAGAGCCTGGAGCCTGTTTCCGATTCTGTGTCTCCCTCTCTCTCTGCCCCTCCCCCGTTCATGCTCTGTCTCT